CGTGGCCAAAATACAACGTAAGCACAATGAACATAGATTTTAGTCTACCCTAAGAACATCAAAGAAAATGAAAGCTATTTTTTTGTTTTGTTTTCTTTAATAACTCCTGCGAGGATAGACTTAGTCAAGTAATTCCGACCCTTTACTCTGATGACTTGAATTCAGGTGTGCTTTTTTCTTTATGATACATACAGTTTGCGTAAAGGTTTTCTCCTTCTCCAGTGGTAATGTTGGGGGGACGCGTCTCGGTGGCACGTCAGCGTTTATGATTTGGCAAGGCTTGAATGTTGTTGTTGTTGCCAGTTGATGCATGTAAGGACTTTCCTGTTTGTCCAAGGTACACAAGGTACTTACAATTGCGATTGTCCCAACATGCATAAAGTATTAGAACTGCCCAAACGTCTAGTGCATTGTATCTACATACGAGTTTGTGTGATCACACTATTAAGTGGGATGGAGCGAAAACCATTGCCAATTGCCGTGGTTTCGTGGAACGGAATTTGATTGAGTCTGCCCTAATCAGTGTTCAAATATTCTCCATGTTAGTACTGGTATGTACAAACATGATCCATTTTTAAGTTACAATATTGCACAACAGTTTAAGAAAAAACTCTGATAGGGTTACTATGTATCATTACAATATTATATTCATATATTGCATGTTCAGTGAGGCTTTTTCTTTAATCTTTCATCATTATTCTCTGACCGATTAATCCTATTATTCTAAGCTAATCTATAACTGTTTCTGGGTAATTCTTTCCCTGGGGTTGGGTGGTCAGATTCAGTTGTTGGCTTGTACCCTCCCTTTGTTTCCTTTAGTCAGACTGGTGTTGACAATGGCTTTGATCGGCCGAAACGTTCATCTTCCTTTCTCATTCCTCTCTGGATTTTCCGCATTAGATTCTTCTTCCAGCTAGAGGTGGTACTCCCTATATATATATATATATATATATATATATATATATATATATATATATATATATATATATATATATATATATATATATATATATATATATATATATTAGTATATTTTGGTAGCAGTCTTTCCTGTAGACATATTTTATTAAATATGACCGAAAAAGTAAGATTAATAATTCTAACACGAATTTTCTCAATCTTTCGTACATTATGCTTCACTGTTGGAGGTAAATCAAAAATCACTTCTCCAAAATTCATTTTTATTTCTAGTCTGACGCGACACGGGCGCGTTTCGTAAAACTTATTACATTTTCAAAGACTTCACAAATACACAACTGATTAGAACTTGCGTTTCCCTGATTTTATATCTACATTTGAGTGAGGTGGGAAGGGTGATGTGGCATTACATTTGAGTGAGGTGGGAAGGATGATGTGGCATTAGAGGATATTAATAGGGTATTAAAAGTATCAACACAAGACAGAACACGAAACAATGGATATTGAATAGAAGTGTTTGTAGAAAGCCTATTGGTCCATATTTCTTGATGCTTCTATATTGGAGCGGAGTCTTGAGGTGGGTAGAATATAGTTGTGTATTCTACCCACCACAACTATATTCTACCCACCTCAAGACTCCGCTCCAATATAGAAGCATCAAGAAATATGGACCAATAGGCTTTCTACAAACACTTCTATTCAATATCCATTGTTTCGTGTTCTGTCTTGTGTTGATACTTTTAATACCCTATTAATATCCTCTAATGCCACATCATCCTTTCCACCTCACTCAAATGTAATGCCACATCACCCTTCCCACCTCACTCAAATGTAGATATAAAATCAGGGAAACGCAAGTTCTAATCAGTTGTGTATTTGTGAAGTCTTTGAAAATGTAATAAGTTTTACGAAACGCGCCCGTGTCGCGTCAGACTAGAAATAAAAATGAATTTTGGAGAAGTGATTTTTGATTTACCTCCAACAGTGAAGCATAATGTACGAAAGATTGAGAAAATTCGTGTTAGAATTATTAATCTTACTTTTTCGGTCATATTTAATAAAATATATATATATATATATATATGTCGTACCTAGTACCCCAGAACGCACTTCTCAGCCTACTATGCAAGGCCCAATTTGTCTAATATGCCAAAGTTTTCATGAATTAATTGTTTTTCGACTACCTAACCTACCTAACCTAACCTAACTTTTTCGGCTATCTAACCTAACCTATAGAGATAGGTTAGGTTAGGTTAGGTAGGGTTGGTTAGGTTCGGTCATATATCTACGTTAATTTTAACTCCAATAAAAATAAATTTACCTCGTACATAATGAAATGGGTAGCTTTATCATTTCATAAGAAAAAAATTAGAGAAAATATATTAATTCAGGAAAACTTGGCTTATTAGGCAAATCGGGCCTTGCATAGCAGGCCGAGTACGACGTTCTGGCTACTAGGTACAACATTATATATATATATATATATATATATATATATATATATATATATATATATATATATATATATATATATATATATATATATATATATATTAGTATATTTTGGTAGCAGTCTTTCCTGTAGACATATTTTATTAAATATGACCGAAAAAGTAAGATTAATAATTCTAACACGAATTTTCTCAATCTTTCGTACATTATGCTATGCAACCTCCGAAGAGACAACTAACACAACACCTATACCCCCTATTAGACTATTTTACAGGAACTTCTTTTCCACAGCTCATAAAACAGAGGAAAGGGTCCTGAAAGATATTGTTAATAGAAACGTTATCCCTACAGACAAAAATCAGAGGATACAACTGACGATTTACTATAAAACCAGAAAAACGGCCAGCCTACTCATGAGAAACTCTCCAGACACGAAACAGAACGCTTTAAAAGAGACTAACGTCGTCTATGCCTTCAAATGCCCACTTGGGGACTGTAAGCTCCAAAAAACCCAGTATATAGGCAAGACAACAACATCTCTTTCTAGGCGTTTAACGATGCATAAACAACAGGGCTCCATTAAGGAACATATAATCTCTTCCCATAACCAAACCATCGCCAGAGAAATCCTAGTAAACAACACAGAAATCATCGATAGATACAGCGATAGCAGCGGCTTGACGTTTGCGAGGCACTACACATCAAGAAGTCAACACCAGCAATCAACAGCCAATTATTGCACAACTATATTCTACCCACCTCAAGACTCCGCTCCAATATAGAAGCATCAAGAAATATGGACCAATAGGCTTTCTACAAACACTTCTATTCAATATCCATTGTTTCGTGTTCTGTCTTGTGTTGATACTTTTAATACCCTATTAATATCCTCTAATGCCACATCATCCTTCCCACCTCACTCAAATGTAATGCCACATCACCCTTCCCACCTCACTCAAATGTAGATATAAAATCAGGGAAACGCAAGTTCTAATCAGTTGTGTATTTGTGAAGTCTTTGAAAATGTAATAAGTTTTACGAAACGCGCCCGTGTCGCGTCAGACTAGAAATAAAAATGAATTTTGGAGAAGTGATTTTTGATTTACCTCCAACAGTGAAGCATAATGTACGAAAGATTGAGAAAATTCGTGTTAGAATTATTAATCTTACTTTTTCGGTCATATTTAATAAAATATATATATATATATATATATATATATATATATATATATATATATATATATATATATATTATATATATATATATTCTTTATCACCACACCAGAAATAAATATCTCTTTGATATCCCCAGGGTCAAACTTAATCTGTGTAAACACTCTATGCAAATAAAGGGACCCAGTCTATGGAACTCACTCCCTAATGAATTGAAAAGCTGTCCAACTTTTGTGTCGTTTAAAAACAAAACTAAAAAGTACCTAATTTCATCTTCATAGTTGTTTACCTTTTGCTTTAAAATTGCACTGTATCAATTGCTACCCAATCTCCCAATCTTTATGTACCCAATCCGAACATCTTTACCATTGTAATCATTGCTGTCTTCTTATATGTGCTATCAATCTACTGTGTGGTGTTTATTAACCTTGTTTAAATTACCAATCAAGCTGTCAATGTAATCAATCAGAGCTTTAATATACCAATGTGCTTTAATATACTTACCATTCTCTCTCATCCCATTTTTTTCTTGCAATGTATTTGTTATCATTTTCTTAATTCTGCTAGAATTTACCTACTTAAAATTATCTGTTAGATTAAGGACCTGCCGGAAACGCTGCGCGTACTAGTGGCTTTACAAGATTGTAAATACTATCCAATGTATTCTCACAAACCCAATGTACCTTCTTGTATATAAATAAATAATTAAAAAATAAAATAAATATAATATATAATGGCAATGTCAAACCACGGAGGAAGAATTGAAACAGGAATTTCCTTAAGTACTTTCGTATATTAATACATCTTCAGAAGGAATGAATCATTCATTCTTTCTGAAGATGTATTAATATACGAAAGTACTTAAGGAAATTCCTGTTTCAATTCTTCCTCCGTGGTTTGACATTGTCTCATTTTCATCACGTGTTAATTTACGTGATTTACACACACACACAAACACACACACACACACACACACACACACACACACACACACACACACACACACACACACACACACACACATATATATATATATATATATATATATATATATATATATATATATATATATATAATATATATATAATATGTTATATATAATATAATAGTGTGTGAATGTGTCCACTTGCCCCTCACCTAGAGTGAGTGTGAGTCCACCTGCCCCTCACCTAGAGTGAGTGTGTGTCCACCTGCCCCTCACCTAGAGTGAGTGTGTGTCCACCTGCCCCTCACCTAGAGTGAGGGTGGGTCCACCTGCCCCTCACCTAGAGTGAGTGTGTGTCCACCTGCCCCTCACCTAGAGTGAGTGTGTGTCCACCTGCCCCTCACCTAGAGTGAGTGTGTGTCCACCTGCCCCTCACCTAGAGTGAGTGTGTGTCCACCTGCCCCTCACCTAGAGTGAGTGTGTGTCCACCTGCCCCTCACCTAGAGTGAGTGTGTGTCCACCTGCCCCTCACCTGTAGTGAGCTGAGTGCCTCCTTGGCCACGGCCGCCACCTGCCGTCCGGGGTGCGTCTCGGAGCTGGTGCCGTCCGCCGTCACCACCTCGCGGTGAAGGCTGCGTCGCCCCACCAGCGACGCCAGGAACTCCTTGTCTTTACTCAGGCCTCCCAGCAACCTCTGTCGGACGTCACAATACATTGTTAAGGAGCTCCAGGCACATGGGGTAGCGGCCAGCACCCCGGACCACACCACACACGGTGCACCAGCTTCTTCTTGTTGCTTGAGATTCAGCTACACGGAACAAAAACTTGCAAGTAGCACGGGCTATGGTGAGCCCGTCCTACTCACCTGGCATAGGAGCGGGGCTGAGAACCAGTTCCGTGTGTGGTGTGGTCACGCATGTTGTGGAACACAGTGCTAGATAAAGAAGTAATACATGTTAGTAGAATACATGTAAGGAGAATGCATGTTTGAATAATACATGTTAGAAGAATGCATGTTAGTAGAAGTACTAACTGAAGCCAAGCACATTAATGGTATGTACCGTGAAGAGGCAGATCAGCCCAACACAGGACGTGGCTTAGTAAGACGCAGTGTGGCTTTACAGAACACAATGTAGCTATGCCAGGTAGAATCTGGGTTTCACAACACAAAATTGCTTTTTAAAAGATACACTGTTGATTTGCAAAGGACAACTTAGCTTTAGAAAATGCACAACGTGAATTTGAAGAAAATTCAACCTGGATTTACAAAACACAGAACGAGACATTATAAAAGACTGAACAAGGCTTTAGAAGAGAGACAGTCAGGCTTTACGAAAGACAACTTGGCTTTACATTGTGGTTTTACAATAGACAAAACGTGACTTTCAAAACCAGAACGAGGCTTACACGCGAGGCAGGTGAGGGTGGTGGACACTACACACGAGGCAGGTGAGGGTGGTGGACACTACACACGAGGCAGGTGAGGGTGGTGGACACTACACACGAGGCAGGTGAGGGTGGTGGACACTACACACGAGGCAGGTGAGGGTGGTGGACACTACACACGAGGCAGGTGAGGGTGGTGGACACGGACCTCCTGTGCCGCCTCATATGCATCGTAGAGGTAAAGTTGAATCTATAAAACAAAACTCTTTGAACCTGTGGCCGTCGGTAGGGTGGCCTTGAGGGAGGTTCTGGCACTGGTTACGTCGTCTTTCTCATCTTATCAACACAACACAATTTGTCAAATGTTTTACGTCTTGATGTCCATTCATTGCTGGATGAAGGTATACAGTAGTTAACGGTGCCTAGTCGTTCCACTCTGCCCAGGGTTCGAAACAGGATTTTTTTTGCTCGGGATGCGAACGAGTGAGAGTTCTAACCTAACACAACGGGGTTTTGTGTGAAAGTTGCACATGAAACTCCTTGTTTAATACCTTAAGAACAGATTTCAACCTGCTGACATTACATATAAATGTTGTTACCCTTGAGAGCCCTTATGGCTGGTGGTGTTACCGCAGCTCCTGGGCTCCCTGACCTTAAGGTTTACGACCCCGGAGTGTGGGAGGAGGACGTTCATCATAACAAACTTGGCAACTGACCTTGGAGGCGGATTTGGCTTCCTTTGCATCTGTGAAGGAGATGGTGGGCACCGTGGTGGTCTGGGACTGTCCAGACGTCCCGCTGCCCTCCGTCAGGCTGGTCCCCGTCACAGGCTCCTCCGCGTCAGGAAAACTGTCTCCTGTATAAGGTATAAGAGAGAGATAAGGAGACAGCTCCTGCAGGATGACTGTAAAAGGTTCTGATGGAAGGTAGGTGTGGAGGGCTCTGGTGGAGGGTAGGTGTGGAGGAATCTGGTGGAGGGTAGGTGTGGAGGGATCTGGTGGAGGGTAGGTATGGAGGGATCTGGTGGAGGGTAGGTGTGGAGGGATCTGGTGGAGGGTAGGTATGGAGGGATCTGGTGGAGGGTAGGTGTGGAGGGATCTGGTGGAGGGTAGGTATGGAGGGATCTGGTGGAGGGTAGGTGTGGAGGGATCTGGTGGAGGGTAGGTATGGAGGGATCTGGTGGAGGGTAGGTGTGGAGGGATCTGGTGGAGGGTAGGTATGGAGGGATCTGGTGGAGGGTAGGTGTGGAGGGATCTGGTGGAGGGTAGGTATGGAGGGATCTGGTGGAGGGTAGGTGTGGAGGGATCTGGTGGAGGGTAGGTGTGGAGGGATCTGGTGGAGGGTAGGTATGGAGGGATCTGGTGGAGGGTAGGTGTGGAGGACTCTGTTGAAGGGTAGGTGTGGAGGGTAGGTGTGGAGGGATCTGGTGGAGGGTAGGTGTGGAGGGATCTGGTGGAGGGTAGGTGTGGAGGGATCTGGTGGAGGGTAGGTATGGAGGGATCTGGTGGAGGGTAGGTGTGGAGGGATCTAATGTAGGGTAGGTGTGGAGGGATCTGGTGGAGGGTAGGTGTGGAGGGTTCTGATGAAGGGTAGGTATGGAGGGTTCTGATGGAGGGTATGTGTGGAGGGTTCTGGTGGAGGGTAGGTGTGGAGGGCTCTGGTGGAGGGTATGTGTGGAGGGTTCTGGTGGAGGGTAGGTGTGGAGGGCTCTGGTGGAGGGTAGGTGTGGAGGGCTCTGGTGGAGGGTAGGTGTGGAGGGTTCTGGTGGAGGGTAGGTGTGGAGGGCTCTGGTGGAGGGTATGTGTGGAGGGTTCTGGTGGAGGGTAGGTGTGGAGGGTTCTGGTGGAGGGTAGGTGTGGAGGGCTCTGGTGGAGGGTAGGTGTGGAGGGTAGGTGTGGAGGGCTCTGGTGGAGGGCTCTGGTGGAGGGTAGGTGTGGAGGGCTCTGGTGGAGGGTAGGTGTGGAGGGTTCTGGTGGAGGGTAGGTGTGGAGGGCTCTGGTGGAGGGTAGGTGTGGAGGGTAGGTATGGAGGGTTCTGATGGAGGGTAGGTGTGGAGGGCTCTGGTGGAGGGTAGGTGTGGAGGGTTCTGGTGGAGGGTAGGTGTGGAGGGCTCTGGTGGAGGGTAGGTGTGGAGGGCTCTGGTGGAGGGTAGGTGTGGAGGGTTCTGGTGGAGGGTAGGTGTGGAGGGCTCTGGTGGAGGGTAGGTGTGGAGGGCTCTGGTGGAGGGTAGGTGTGGAGGGCTCTGGTGGAGGGTAGGTGTGGAGGGCTCTGGTGGAGGGTAGGTGTGGAGGGCTCTGGTGGAGGGTAGGTGTGGAGGGCTCTGGTGGAGGGTAGGTGTGGAGGGCTCTGGTGGAGGGTAGGTGTGGAGGGTTCTGGTGGAGGGTAGGTGTGGAGGGTTCTGGTGGAGGGTAGGTGTGGAGGGCTCTGGTGGAGGGTAGGTGTGGAGGGCTCTGGTGGAGGGTAGGTGTGGAGGGCTCTGGTGGAGGGTAGGTGTGGAGGGTTCTGATGAAGGGTAGGTGTGGAGGGTTCTGGTGGAGGGTAGGTGTGGAGGGTTCTGATGAAGGGTAGGTGTGGAGGGTTCTGGTGGAGGGTAGGTGTGGAGGGCTCTGGTGGAGGGTAGGTGTGGAGGGTTCTGGTGGAGGGTAGGTGTGGAGGGCTCTGGTGGAGGGTAGGTGTGGAGGGCTCTGGTGGAGGGTAGGTGTGGAGGGTTCTGATGAAGGGTAGGTGTGGAGGGCTCAGGTGGAGGGTAGGTGTGGAGGGTTCTGGTGGAGGGTAGGTGTGGAGGGCTCTGGTGGAGGGTAGGTGTGGAGGGTTCTGGTGGAGGGTAGGTGTGGAGGGCTCTGGTGGAGGGTAGGTGTGGACGGTTCTGGTGGAGGGCTCTGGTGGAGGGTAGGTGTGGAGGGCTCAGGTGGAGGGTAGGTGTGGAGGGTTCTGGTGGAGGGTAGGTGTGGAGGGCTCTGGTGGAGGGTAGGTGTGGAGGGTTCTGGTGGAGGGTAGGTGTGGTGGGCTCTGGTGGAGGGTAGGTTTGGAGGGTTCTGGTGGAGGGTAGGTGTGGAGGGCTCTGGTGGAGGGTAGGTGTGGAGGGCTGTGGTGGAGGGTATGTGTGGAGGGTTCTGGTGGAGGGTAGGTGTGGAGGGTTCTGGTGGAGGGTAGGTGTGGAGGGTTCTGGTGGAGGGTAGGTGTGGAGGGCTCTGGTGGAGGGTATGTGTGGAGGGTTCTGGTGGAGGGTAGGTGTGGAGGGTTCTGATGAAGGGTAGGTGTGGAGGATTCTGGTGGAGGGTAGGTGTGGAGGGTAGGTATGGAGGGTTCTGATGGAGGGTAGGTGTGGAGGGCTCTGGTGGAGGGTAGGTGTGGAGGGCTCTGGTGGAGGGCTAGGTGGTGGAGGGCTCTGGTAGGTGTGGAGGGCTCTGGTGGAGGGTAGGTGTGGAGGGCTCTGGTGGAGGGTAGGTGTGGAGGGCTCTGGTGGAGGGTAGGTGTGTGAGGGCTGGAGGGTAGGTGTGGAGGGCTCTGGTGGAGGGTAGGTAGGGCTGGTGGAGGGTATGTGTGGAGGGTTCTGGTGGAGGGTAGGTGTGGAGGGCTCTGGTGGAGGGTAGGTGTGGAGGGCTCTGGTGGAGGGTAGGTGTGGAGGGCTCTGGTGGAGGGTATGTGTGGAGGGTTCTGGTGGGTAGGTGTGGAGGTGGTGGAGGGTAGGTGTGGAGGGCTCTGGTGGAGGGTATGTGTGTTCTGGTGGAGGGTAGGTGTGGAGGGCTCTGGTGGAGGGTATGTGTGGAGGGCTCTGGTGGAGGGTAGGTGTGGAGGGCTCTGGTGGAGGGTAGGTGTGGAGGGCTCTGGTGGAGGGTATGTGTGGAGGGTTCTGGTGGAGGGTAGGTGTGGAGGGCTCTGGTGGAGGGTAGGTGTGGAGGGTGGAGGGTAGGTGTGGAGGGCTCTGGTGGAGGGTAGGTGTGTGGTGGAGGGGTGTGGAGGGCTGGTGGAGGGTAGGTGTGGAGGGCTCTGGTGGAGGGTAGGTGTGGAGGGCTCTGGTGGAGGGTAGGTGGTGGAGGGCTCTGGTGGAGGGTAGGTGTGGAGGGCTCTGGTGGAGGGTAGGTGTGGAGGGCTCTGGTGGAGGGTAGGTGGTGGAGGGGTCTGGTGGAGGGTAGGTGTGGAGGGCTCTGGTGGAGGGTAGGTGTGGAGGGCTCTGGTGGAGGGTAGGTGTGGAGGGCTCTGGTGGAGGGTAGGTGTGGAGGGCTCTGGTGGAGGGTAGGTGTGGAGGGCTCTGGTGGAGGGTAGGTGGGAGGGCTCTGGTGGAGGTGTGGGAGGGACTGGTGGAGGGTAGGTGTGGAGGGCTCTGGTGGTGGGTAGGTGTGGAGGTGGAGGGTAGGTGTGTCCTGTGGTGGAGGGTACTGTGGAGGGTTGGGTGGGGAGGGTAGGTGTGGAGGGTTCTGGTGGAGGGTAGGTGTGGAGGGCTCTGGTGGAGGGTATGTGTGGAGGGTTCTGGTGGAGGGTAGGTGTGGAGGGCTGGTGGAGGGTATGTGTGGAGGTTCTGGTGGAGGGTATGTGTGGAGGGTTCTGATGGAGGGTAGGTGTGGAGGGCTCTGGTGGAGGGTTCTCGTGGAGGGTAGGTGTGGAGGGCTCTGGTGGAGGGTATGTGTGGAGGGTTCTGGTGGAGGTGTGTTGTGGGAGGGTTCTGATGGAGGGTAGGTGTGGAGGGCTCTGTGGAGGGTAGGTGTGGAGGGCTCTGGTGGAGGGTAGTGTGGAGGGCTCTGGTGGAGGGTGGTGTGGAGGGCTCTGGTGGAGGTAGGTGTGGAGGGTTCTCGTGGAGGGTAGGTGTGGAGGGCTCTGGTGGAGGGTAGGTGTGGAGGGTAGGTGTGGAGGGTAGGTGTGGAGGGCTCTGGTGGAGGGTAGGTGTGGAGGGCTCTGGTGGAGGGTAGGTGTGGAGGGTAGGTGTGGAGGGCTTCACCAACACGAAGACGGGAGTTATGATATGCTCTATGACACCTCAGGTCCAGTTGTGGTGGGACTGGTCCAGTTGTGGTGGGACTGGTCCAGTTGTGGTGGGACTGGTCCAGTTGTGGTGGGACTGGTCCAGTTGTGGTGGGACTGGTCCAGTTGTGGTGGGACTGGTCCAGTTGTGGTGGGACTGGTCCAGTTGTGGTGGGACTGGTCCAGGTGTGTTGGTGTGGGTCCAGGTGTGTTGGGGTTGGTCCATGTGTGTTGGGGTGGGACCATGTGTGTTGGGGTGGGTCCATGTGTGTTGGGGTGGGTCCATGTGTGTTGGGGTGGGTCCATGTGTGTTGGGATGGGTCCGTGTGTGTTGGGGTGGGTCCATGTGTGTTGGGGTGGGTCCGTGTGTGTTGGGGTGGGTCCGTGTGTGTTGGTGTGGGACCGTGTGTGTTGGTGTGGGTCCATGTGTGTTGGTGTGGGTCCATGTGTGTTGGGATGGGTCCATGTGTGTTGGGATGGGTCCATGTGTGTTGGGATGGGTCCATGTGTGTTGGGATGGGTCCATGTGTGTTGGGATGGGTCCATGTGTGTTGGGATGGGTCCGTGTGTGTTGGGATGGGTTCAGATGTTTTGGAATTGTAACAGCTGTGATGGGATAGTCAAAAAGAGCTCTGTGATCGCTGAATTTGTTGATTGCGGGGTTCAGGTGCTCTGTACTGGGTAAGCATGCTTTATACTTGGTCCAGGGGCTCTATACGGAGTTTCTAATATTATATGCGTGGGTCAGATGCTCTATACCGGGTTCAGGTGCTCTTTGCGGGGGGTTTAGATGATCTATATGAGGTTTAGGTACTCTATAGGAGGTCGGGTGCTCATGGGGTGGGGGTTCAGATGCTCTTTACGGAGTTTAGGAGCTCCTTAGGTCGTTCATGAGCT